ACTACTACTACTACTACCACTACTACTACTACTACTACTACTACTACTACTACTACTACTACTACTACTACTACTGCTACTACTACTACTACGACTACGACTACGACTACGACTACGACTACGACTACGACCACGACTGCGACTACGACTACGACTACGACTACGACTACGGAGACTACGGCTACTACGGCTACTACGGCTACTACGACTACCACCACTACTACTACTACTACTACTACTACTACTACTACTACTGCTACTACTACTGCTACTACTACTACTACTACTACTACTACTACTACTACTACTACTACTTACCCGGGATGAAGAACTGGTCCCATGCAAGAATCGAGACCTCTTGGGAGCCACATCGTGAAAAATCACGACGTCGAATGTCTGGAGAGGACGCATGCTTCCCGGTCTTGTGGCCACCTGGGGCCGTGTCTGGCCGCCTTGGTCGTCTCGGGGGTCACTAGGGTGCCTCTATGGGCCATCTTGGGTTGTCTCAGGCCGACTTGGGCCGTCCGCGAGCGCCCGCGACTTAGCCTCCCCAGTTGGGACATGAGTTCAGGCGGATCAGCTTTGTACGAAAACAGTATGAGTAAGCGATAGTGATGTAGTTCACGGATGCAAGACCCTTGGGGCGGCGCGAAAACTAGGGATGCGCGCGCCCAAAAGTGCTAATAATGGCCAGACCCGAACGATGCAACATCCCCTTGTGATAAGGGCCCATCCTTAAGACTGGTTCTGACTGTAGGGGAATCCCACCAGCCCTTGAGGCATAGTAGGTGAAACGAATTAGTTTGTCCAACCTCCCTCTCCCCCTTCGGGGAGAGAGTTACCTCTCCCCCTACCCCCTCCCTGGGTCTGGACGGACCCAGTCGAGAATCGCTGGAGCGTCAAAGAGGGCCCCAGATATCCCAATATGACCTCCAATATGGCACAAGATAGGCGAAGATGGTTCAAGATAGCCTCCAGCATGCCTCCAAACGAGGCCCAAAAACAGTCTTGGCTCCAAATGGCTGCGGACCCTTCCAAGGACCACCACGAGAGGCCAGAAAGACTTAGCAAACGCCATGTGTATTTTGTCTTGTCGCCTGTTCACTTCCGCTGGGCTCTTGAGGTCCCAAGATGGCTCCACGATGGCACGAGAGAGTCCCATTAGTTTTTGCCAATGCAAAACACCACGGGTGACGCAACCGCATCGCGAGTCAAAAAGGTCGCCAGGCAAACCAGGAGCACCACAGGCAAACTCGTGTTATGAACCGTGGCCTGAACAACAGATCGACAATGCAGTTACGACAGGGGGGAAGATGGAGGAGGACGCGAGGCCAGGAGAGGGAGGAAGCACAAGGGAGTCCCAAGAGGGGCCCAAGAGGGGACAACGAGGGGCCCAGGAGCGCCCAAGAGGGCCCGAGGAGCGCCCCAAGAGGGCCTAAAGAGGCTGCTACGTCTCGGCCTGCGCCTCGTCCAAGGGGGAATGAGACCCCCCCCCCTCTTTGAACGATGGCCTCCAGAATGGCCCCAAGAGCGCCCCAAAGGCCCCCAAGAGGACCCCCAAGGGAGCCCCAGAGACCATCAGTGTCGAACTGTTCGCGAAGGCAGTTACGATTGGCTCCCGGGCCTGCTCTCGTGCTGGTTCCGATCCTCGGCTTGACGGCTGCCCCCCCCCTCTTTGTTCCGCTGCGTGCTCCCGCCGTCCCCTGATCAATGCAGCTCGCCTGGGCATCGATGCTGGAGGGTCTGGTGGGAGAACTTTTTTTGGTCGCAGCCGCAGGCGAGAGCGCAAGCGGCGAGTCGTAAGTCCGGGGCGCGGGCCTACTAATTAAAACAGGGGCAAGCTAGAGCGGCGTAACCTAAACAACTAGCGGCTGGTGTGAGAACGCGAAGCGTCAAGAACTGATTGCACAAGTTCAGATATAAGCTATATGCGTATAAGTTCACATGTACATTTACTTCTGACGCTGCCCCATCCTGTCCCTCTCATGTTCCTCCTCTTCCTCCTGGCAGCTAACGGCGACTTCGCGCCGCTTGTACCACATCCACCTTCTGATCCGAGTTGCGCTACGGCGCGGGTGGATCAGGGGGTATCGTTCAACCGATCCCCATCCCTACTGGTATGGCCTTGGCCCCACTGGCCGACTGACGCGCCTAGGTGGCGATACGTATGCTGTCCCCTCGGAGCCTCGCGGAACCTATCCCCACCTAGGGGGGTGGGCCGGTGGGGGATGGAGATCGGTTAGACGATGTTGAGGGAGCGGGGGGGTCAGGGCGGCTCACAGGTAGCTCATGCCCGCCAGACGCCGTAGCTGCTCGAAGCACATGAGCGAGACGAGCCCCGCGGTCGCTCCCGGCCACCCTACCAGGAGGGGCGAGTTTCGGGCGCCTTCGGGCGGAGGTCAGGCGGATTTCGGACGCGGTTCGGGCGGACGTCGGACGGCTTTCTGACGGACGTCGGACGTTCCTGCTGACGTCTTTCGACGGGGAGGGAAGGGCCACA